TGTGCAGGTTGAATGCAGGAAGGGAGGGTCAGATTGGCCCATACATAATCACTGTTTTATGGCTTTCACTCAGTCCTGAGGTGTTAATGCAGATCAAATGGGAAGCACTCCAGACAGAGCCCTTGCAGCTACCACACCGCCTAGCTCTCCCTTTGCAATCGTTAATTCTTATTGTAGGATCTAGAGGTAATTTCGTTTGCTCTCTTAATGCTTTGCAGGTCTCCCAGTGGCCCTTGCATATCCTTTCTCAAATTCCCATCTTGATCAATTGTTTGCAAATAATTAAGCTTTTAAAAGATAATGGCACAAGGCTAATGTACACAGCAACAGCAAGGTCTCCCTCACTGTCTGTTGGATGGTGGTCAAATTTACTTTGATATCCCAAAGTGATTAAGTTGATTGGTGTATCAGGCCAGTGCAATAAGTCCTTCTTTCACAAGAACCCACTGATCTGTCCTCAACCAGTGTTCTTGTCATTTAGATGCAGTAAAGGATAGGTGCTCAGAGAAATACCAAAAAGAAATGGAAGCCTTTAGTTGCAATGGGTTTGGAATGAATTTCCACCTTTCTCCCTAAAATGGCACCTTTCAGGAATCCTTGATCTCTTACAGAATGGCTTCTGCCTTTGCCTATTGAGTGTCTTCACTCATCCTGTGGGCAAACACAATAGGACTGTGAGTGCTTTTACAGACATCTTGCCTGTTTGTTCATTTGTTGTTGTTTTGGCCAGGCCATTTTTCTACCTCTACAAAGACATGACCTTACTATCTACAAACAGCCTAGGTAATCAAGACTCATACAATTTGAGATATTTAAACTACCAGGGCTTATATTTAGAAGTCTATTTTTCTGTGATTTTTTTGTTTTGTTTTGTTTTTTTAGACAGGGTTTCTCTGTTAGCTTTGGAGCCTACCCTGGCACTCGCTCTGTAGACCAGGCTGGCCTCGAACTCAGAGATCTGCCTGCTTCTGCCTCTCAAGTGTTGGGATTAAAGGCATGAGCCACCAACGCCTGGCTTTTCTGTGAATTTTTGGCTGAGTAGGTGCCAGCTACATAGAGTCATAGTTTTCATGTGGTTTTGGCAATTATAGGTCTTTTAAAAAGGGAATTTAGAGTTTGTGGAATACCAAGGCCAAGAACCAGGAAAATAAAGAAAAACATATGGCTCTTCTACCATAGACAAGAAATTTGCAGATATCCCAGTGTATACATGGTCCTGGGTGTGATACCCTAGAATATTCAATTTAACATGTATCTATATCTACATCTATCTGTCTGTCTATCTATCTGTCTATCTACACATTCAACTTAGTACATACACATATAATGCCTACTGGTTGGCATGTATATCTCTTATTAATAATGTCCAAATTATTGTGACATTTAATTTTATCCAGGCTCATTCATATCTACATAAAAAATACATCCCAAAGAGCTGAAAATTGCTTAATGGAGACAGAGTGCTGGGTCTCTATAGCTTGGGGCTGCCTAGCAATTATGCTGCATGAAATTAGACACAGTTTGTTCCAATTACTTAAAATCAGATCACATGAAAAGTGACAGAGGAGAAGAAAAAAACCTAGACCTTTCTCATTTTGTGATATTTAAATTATGAAATCAGAAACTACACGATGTGAAGAAACAACTGATACTTGCTGTGGAATTTGGAGGGCTGCATTGCAGCTCTGTGGAGCTGTAATGATTCAGGTAATTTTAATGACCCAAGGAGAATTTTTCTGACACCATTTGCATAAATAAAATGTGAATTCCATTTGTCTTATAAGTGTGTATGTAAAGCTTGCTCACAAACAAGCATGCAAAAATACTCTTGAAAAACACAGGACAGGGAAATTGCTGTGACAATTCTCAATTTTCAAAGTAGCTTAAGATGAATGGCACAAATACTAATTTTTCCATCTAGTTTGGGTCCTAACATTAAGGCAGCCAACAAGACAAGGCAAAAGATGCTGTAACTCAGTTCTGCTGAAGAGTGAAGAGAGACATATTTATTAATTCTACTGAAAAATAATTGAAAGAAACTTTCTTAGAACCTGGAAAACTGTAAGTAAATAGTATTATGGAAAATGTTATAGACCAGAATGCCCATGTGTCCCTGCTTATAACTTTATGTGCAAATACCATCAACAACTAGGTATTAAAAATTGAGTATTTGGGGCTGATTAGATGGTAAGAGCTCCTGACAACATGAGTTCAATCTCTGGATACCACTTGGTACAAAAAGAGAACCAATTCTGCAAGTTGTTTTCTGACCTCTACATGTATATAGTGGCATGGATCTACACACACACACACACACACACACACACACACACACACACAGGTGCACACACACATGTGCATGAATGCACACACACAAAATTAAGGCAAGGTTTTTTTTTTAAAGAAAATTGCACATTTCAGAATCTAGTTTGTAATTCTTATTGGGCACTACTGTTTAGAGCTGCTAGTGAGAGAAGCCTTGAACTTCAATGGATCCTAGGACTCACATAACAAAATTGAGGGTTATAAAAGTTGTTCATGTTCAAAGTCTTATAATTAGTGAGTGCAGCATAATTTATATGCTCTAATAGAGTCATTTATAGTATATACAATTTTTCAACTAGTATAGACACAGAACTACTATATATATAAAATTCTAATTCAGTGTTCTATTCGTAAGAAAAGAGATTCATTTGATGAGAATTGTGTGGCATGCTTTTATACAATAGGAATTAAGTTTTAAACGTAGGGTATTGGGTAGTGTTTAGTTCTGTACTGGTCCTGAGACCTGGTTTTATGTTGTGTGTGGTCCTAGTTCATTATGGCTTGAATACATGAGTCAACACCACTTTTAGGATTGAAGCAAAGAAAATACCGGTGTGGGTGGCTACACTTTCTCTGGGCTTTGAAAGACACTTCATTATCTGTTTTGGTGTTGAATCCGAATAGATAGTATCTAAGCTTACTTATTCTTTTTGTTCAAACTATTGCTAATTTCCCATTACATACTTACCTGGACTTTAAAGATGATGAACAGTAAAGCAATGCATTTCAAACTGGTACTTGGGTGAGAAGACACCCCAGCAAGGAAACAGAAAAAGGGCTTCAGAGAATGGCACTTGCCATCAGGGAGTGAGGGGAGGGTTGATGTGAGATGAGTTGTGTATGCATGTGGTCTGGTGTGTGTGTGTGTGTGTCTATGTACATGCATGTGTGCATGTGTGTGTGTGTGTGTGTGTGTGTACATGCATGTGTTCATGTGTCTGTGTGTGTGTGTGTGTCTATGTACATGCATGTGTGCATGTGTCTGTGTGTGCATATGTGTGTGTGTGTGTGTGTGTGTGTGTGTGTGTGTGTGTGTACACCTGACCTTGAGCTGGACTCTGACAGTGACATTGGTGAAGTGAAGTGGGGAGAACCTTAGTGTGTTGGAAGAGTTAGAAATGAGAACAGTGTGGCTGAGAAGAAGCACCAGGTGAGACCTCAATGGCTCTGAACAGGCAGAGCTGATGGCTGGCTCTGTAGATTATGTAAGCAGTGTGGAGTTTTTTGAAGACTTAGATTCTGGGAGAGAAGAAGGAACTATCACTATTGGCTATCCTTTCCCCTGACTGGCTTTCTCACCTACAAAACAAGAGGATGCTGGTTCCATTCATGTTATTCAGAAGGATCTAATGGGACTAATTACATCCTGCCTGAAATACACCTGAAGCTCTTTAGAGAAAGGCACTATACTCTACAAAAGCAAAGCCTCATTCTAATTGTGTATTTATTGATTAAGTGGCAATCAAAGACAATGCTTATGGGAAAAACCACTATATCCCCACTCTCCACAAGCATATCCCATGTTATAGACCTAGGATGTATTTAAAGTTACATGTAAAAACACTGATGTGGTCATTAACGATTTCTTAAACATCTGACTGGACATTATTAATGAGATTAAAAGCTATGTTAATTGTCATCCAATAGACCAGAATTTAGTTTCCATGATACACACAGTTAAATTGAATATTGATAGTACCTTCTCTCATTCATAATGGGATTAAAAATAGAGGACTGACTGTCAGGACAACTTTATCTTGGGGAATTTATAGGAAAACAGACTTTCACACTAGCCAGTGTCTCCATAGGTGGAAACCACACCCCCAGGTGCTCTCCTATACTTTAGAAATGTATGATTCAGCTTAGATACACTTGCCAACTGAACAGAAAATGTTTCCACAAACAAATTTCAGTAGAATTCCCAATTCATTTCATTATTTAATTATGCGATTAATACTTTTTGTATTCTCTTCTTCATGGTAAACAGAGCTGGGTTTGTTCTTAGTATGTAACATACGGCCTTTGACTTTTTGTTGGCCTTTACATAGAATCCGAGCATATGTTGACTTTCAGATGTGGAAACAAGCTGTACTGGTTGCTTTTCTTACCACTGTGAGCAAAAAATAATAATAAATAAAAGAAACAAAAGAAAAACAACAACAACAAAGCATGGCAAAAGCAACTCCTGGGGAAAGGATTTGTTTTGGCTCACATTTTGAGGGGCTACAGTCCATCATGGAGAGAAAGGTGCCAAAGGGAAGGCACAGCTATAGGAGCCTGGGGCTGGGTCTCCACACTCTCTCCTATCTCCAGAGTATATTAAATATATATATGGAGAGAGACAGAGAGAGACAGAGACAGAGACAGAGACAACAATCTGATAAAACACAGTGAAGACCACAGTAAACTTTCTAGCCTTGCAACAAGTAAACTTGTTAAAGGGTAAATTCAGTATCAAGGTTCTGCAAGTATCCTAAATAGAAATTTATACACTTCACTAATCTTTGTAATTGGCTTGTCTTTTACTGCCATTAATTAGATGATGTAGTATTCCATTAATAAGAGTGACACACCTCAGCATTTTTGCCTTTAATTATAGACTTCACTAGACACGTTATTGACAAAATGGTATAAATATCGCCTGCTGTACACATACCTTTTTTGATCTCTTTCAGCACCCTTACCCTTCTGAAGAACAGAAAAAGCAGTTGGCACAAGACACAGGCCTCACCATCCTTCAAGTGAACAATTGGTGAGTAATTTGGCTAGAGTTTACACACTGTCTGTTCCCCCCTCTGGCAGCTTGTAGTTAATGTATTGCATGAAGAAGCCACACCCAGTTGCTGCTGCTTTCCCTAGTGGCTTGCTGATGCAAAAGTGGAAATAAACTGGACTAATGTGGAGGAGTGCTTTCTAATGTGGAAAATAGAATGTGTTGCCTTCCACCTTCTTTATGAATCAATAGGTTTTATGCACAGGACAAGTGTGTTTGGTGGATACTCACCCTGGTTCTGAAATCTTTATCACTGTCTTTGGCTTTTCTCTTTAGGATAATTGATAGAGTTGGTACCATACTATTTTCTGTAAAAGAAGAAAAATCTACCATTGCTACACAGATGTCTTAAATTCACTGAGAAACTAGTTCAGTTAGCTTTTGTTAGGGTTATCCATTTGAAGGGCACCTGGTGTTCTCTTCACACTCAAATACCAAAGAGGGGATAGTTGTTTTCTTCTCTGAAGGTCTTTACAACCTGATGTAGTTGAGGGCTATTCAATGCTATTTCTAAGTAAAGTGTACATTCCTCATCTGGTATAAAACTGAGGTGATGCACTGAGTGCTGAACAATAATATTCCGACTAAATGTCCAGCAACATAGCACCGAGGCTCTGAGAAAGTGTGATTTATTGCCCTTTGTGACTGTGCTAAAAGCCATGTTAAGATAATCAGTCAGGCCTACTGTCATATTTGAAGGGTATTGAAATCCTGTCTCCTCTAAAACTAATGATATCTAATTAATCGGCCTAATATTTTTAGACCAGTGTTTATAGTGAAGAAATCTTATCTTTTTTGAAATAAAACCCAGAAAGCATCAAAACCTGGTTGGAGAAAAGACAAAACTGGAGAATGACAGTTTTTTTTTTTGTAGGCATAAGTATTTCTTTCTGTTCAATAGGTGTCAAAGATTAATATTATAGGATCTCTGATTACATAGCCTAATCCATTTTGGTGAATAAATTTGTTCTTGATGTCCATTGTACTTACATTAACAGACCCTTCACTGTTAGAGAGCCTCGAGCCTTTGGGAGATATTTCAGATATATTAAACCCCATTACAGAAAATGTAATTTCTGTCAATATAATCCCATGTATTCTTCAACTCAGTGTTTTAGCGATAACAAGCTACTTATGCTATATTTGCCTTTGGAGGATTAATATACAAAGTGCACTATCTGCAAGACACAGACAGACTCACATGAGCTTTGCTTGTAAGGGTTATCAATTTCTATGACCTTACCACAGCCTTCAGAGATCAATTTTTGCAGCCTTCTTAGTGGATAGGGAACCCACAGAACTCTTATTGTATCTAAATATGTTAAGTTCTGTTGCCTCAGAGGCTTTGCTGTTTGCCTATTTTTATTTGCTATTGTCTTGACATCTTCAAGACTGTCAATACTGCCTGTGTGAAGTTGGTCTTTCAGAAGTTCTTACTAATTCCATGAGTTTTAAGTGTGCACCCACAATCATGTTTTGGGACTTCAAGTGATGGTGAAGCAGTCATAATGCCATGGAAGCTGTTGAAATGGGGCATCTCCTTGGGAAATGTTCTTTAGTAGATGTAAAGGAGTGGCAGGCTGAGCTCAAATTAAGAAGCACTAAAAAGCTGACTATCATACATGCCATCTCTCTTCGTCCTCAATGTTGCTAGCAAACTCTATTCGTAAACATAGTTACCAAATAAATTCAACACATTCTGCTGTGTAAAACATGTCTGATGGGATGTTTCCTGTGAACGCAGGGGCAAAAGGTCCTTCTGTGGTTTCAGGCAATGTATAGAAACCATCATTCCCTAGATTCTCTGTACAAGATCTTACCAGGGAGCTGAAGGTCTTCCTTAGTCAATGACCTCAGTTTTACATCTTCACTTTTGTAGTTTTAGGGAAGAGAAGGGAGACTAGGGATTAGAAAGCTATGAAACAGTTTTCAAAGTATGTGCAGACTTAAGGCTGAAACTCAACTTTGCAGATAGGTAACTTCAAAATCACCTTTTCATATGGGACAGAGTGTGTGGCTCTCCTTTTGCCCTGTCCTTTCTGAGTGTGGAAATAGTTCTTCCCTGCAGTTCAATTGTTTTGCATTTGTCAATTCCTCTGACCTCATTGACAACTTTCCTGGAGAGAATGTCTCTAAAGTAACCTAGAATATCCTAGATGGGTTGTTTTCTTTAAGTGTGATGAGTAATGGCATTTATGTATTGATTGAAGTTTCAAAACATTTTCCAAACCTTGTCTTTTTAAGAAGCTGGGAATAGTGCAGTGCTCTCTCCTTTAATCCCAGCATTCAAAAGGCAGAAGAAGGCAGATCTCTGAGTTCAAGGCCAGCCTGGCCTACAAAGTGAGTTCCAGGACAGCCAGGGCTGCACCAAGAAAGCTTGTCTTAAAAAAAACCAAACCAAACCAAGCCAAACAAAAAACAACAAAACAAACATACAAAAAGTTGGGAATAGATATATTTCTTTAGACTTTAGGTAGAAAATAGTATGCAAATAATGATGCTACCTTTTAAAAACTAAAGGTGTCATAGAATTAAACCGCGTGACCTATTTGAAGACTAAAAGGCAGAGAAAGTAGAGTGTGTTTTCCTTTTACTTCACTGTAATAAAAACACATGAAACTTTTTTGAGAGCCTGAAAATAAATACTTTCATTCTTTAGAACAGTAGCCTATGAGGTTATTTTCTTCTAGAAATCCTAATTCAAAAAAAAAAAATCATTAATGTCTTAAGACTCCCTTTTCACTTCATTTAGTTAAAACTTTAAAAAAATTCTGTCCTTCTTCTTGGATTTCTTAAAACTTGTTAACACACATGTAAATTTTTGTATATGCTATGAGTCACTGCCGGAGATGTTTCAGAAAATGCTGAAGGGCAGGTTGGGTGTAGATCAGTCATAATTATTGGCAGCAAAATAATGTATTGAAATGCACAATATGTTAAGTAAAAGCTATAAACTCATGTCTTGTTGCTACCTTGTCATAGGAACCTTTGCTGGTGCAGCTTCAGTGAGGCATCACCTAGAAAATTCGTCAGGGACTTTGGGGCACTGCTCCTTCACACCACCACTAAACCTGTTTTGTGTCTTTTTGTTGACATAAAGGATATGCTACATGTCAGGTGACGCAAACTAAAATAGATGGGGAATGAGGAAGTGGAAGAACCTCACTGTAAAAACAATAAGATGGATTTGATGGAGAGAAAACAGAGATAAACATGTAATTGCAAATATTCATATTTATTCTACTGCTCAGAATCAAAATAGAGAATAGGGATCTTAACATGGCTGGCATTAGAACCCTGGGATGGAATGAGATATTTATCACACGAGAGGCTGTACACTAAATCTATGCTGACATGTTTTGTTGAAATCTGAGGCAATTATTCAAATAGTCCAGAACATTAAAATATTAAAAATATTTTGAATACATTATTTGATTTAAGGAGATATTGCATGGCTTTTTCAAGTCAAAAATGCTATGACTAATTGTCTGGGTACCTCAATGCTGTGAGAAGTTTAGACTCAGAGTGTCATCAATTGTGAGATACAGCCTGCTCCACATGCTTGTGTAGCCTACCTGTTTGCTCCTTCATTATATAATCTCATTGAGAACTGATAAAATTAATATTTGAGAACTTTCTGTCTTTGTTTTTCTCATTGTTGTTGTGACAAATACTTCTGAGAACAATGTCAATGTGCTGAACATTTTTTTTTCATTTGAGGTAGAAATATTTTAAGTTTTGGCAGTAGATGGCTCTTCAGGTCTTTACTTATTTAAATATTTAGGCAGAGCTTTAAAATGCCATTGCAGAGTCAGGTGGTGGTAGTGTACATCTTTAATCCCAACACTTGGAAGGCAGAGGCAGGTGGATCTCTATGAGTTTGAGGTCAGCCCGGTCTGCAGAGTGAGTTCCAGGATAGCCAGGGCTGTTTTACAGACACACACAAAATATAATTTCAGTATTCAAGTCTTTTATCAAATGTGTTTTTACTTATTGTTTGAGAATTTCCTAAGTGTAAACAACTTGTTTTTTATCTACCCCTGACTCTCTACTATCTAGTCAGATGTTTAAAAAAATATACACATACATAAATATGTACATATATACATAAACTCAAAGCCAATATTTGGTTCTTTTTATCTTTAGTAGATCATCTTTTATACATTGAAAGTGTGAGTGGAAGATGGTCAAATAAAACCTCATTTATGTATTTTAGGGTGTGCTACAGACCAGGGAATTCCCTGTAACAAAAGCTGATGTACAGTTCTGGCTAGAAACCCCAGACAATTCCTGTCTCAGCAGTGTTTTAGCCCAAAGTGCATGGAGTAAATGTTCTAGTTTCTTGGCTTACTACTTTTCATGCACATACTCTCCTAGAAAGGCCTGATGTCAAATGATTATCTCTTTGTGTTTTATTTTGTGCAAAATATATAGTATATATGAAATCTGGCATGTGGATAGAGAGGAAACCCCTGTTTATCAATTGGGTGTATAAAATTCCAGACAGCACCCTGACATCTGATAAGATATCAGAACTAGTGTCCTTGATAGATTTTAGATTTAGAATTCATACTGGATCTTCCCAGGCCCTTCATCTATTTCCCTTAAAACTGCCAAGTGGTCAGGCATTACCTTCCATTTGTTACCCATAGAGGCCAGGGAGCTAGATTCTTTTGCTATAGGCAGGTAAAAATATAACTTATTTTTAGAAAATCTGATCTTTACTATAATAGATTCAACAGTTAAAGGTCAAGTTTATTTCTGAATTATAGTAGTAATGTAGAAAATACTTTTATAAGTAATCAGAGATTCTATAAATATAGAGACATGTTTAGATGTAAATGTTAAAACATTCACAAATTATCCTTCCAGCTTCTGGGATCTAAAAATCAATAAGGGTCAGTGGGTCCCATAGAATTGTTCTGCTTTTCTTCTGATGTAATTTAATAATACATTTTACAGATGTTGTTTAAACATTA